GTGACAAGCTCTACAGTTGACACAGTGAAAACCCCACGCGCCATTAATATGCCAGGCGCACAAATGGAACCCTAGTGCTTAAAAGCAGTGATAGCGAACAGTATGTTCAAGCTGTGTGAAATTGGGTGCACAGATTGCTGTTTCTTATTTATGAATTACTCAGTTTACAGGAAATATGCAGGCTTCAAAATTCTTGGACAGTGCATGTCATGGGTTTCACATACTGTACTTCACTTTACGTGTCAAACTTTGCATAGAGGATCACATATAACTAGGTAACAAATGGGCTTGTAGTAGAGCATATTTAGCAGCACTTCTTTTTCACATTGCGTATAAAATCTGTGAATGTAAAGGCTGTTGCGAGGCAGTGGTAGGTGCAACTATAGTAATGTGGCAACAGTTACTAATACCGCGTGCATGTCGGGAGTGGCACAATCGAAGTACTAAAAAACTGTGCAAGAACTCGTGTTTTCATTAGGCAAGACGTGTTTTGTAGAGGCAGCAATCGCAGAGCGGGACTACGAGAGTGAAAAATCTAAAAGAATAAGAAAGAATAAGAATGGGTGGATCACAATCGGCAAAAATTCCCAAAGCATAAATGATAATCTGTCACTAACCCTCAAGATGAAGGTATATAACAGCTGCGTCTTGCCCGTACTTACCTACAGAGCAGAAACCTGGAGGCTTACAAAAAGGGTTCAGCTTAAATTGAGGATAACGCAGCGAGCGATAGAAAGAAAAACTATAGGTGTAACCTTAAGACACAAGAAGAGAGCATAGTAAGTCAGGGAACAAATTGGTGTTAATGATATCGTAGTTTAAATCAAGAAGAAGCAATGAACATGAGCTGGGCACGTAGTAAGCAGGCAGAATTACCGCTGGTCATTAAGGGTAACTGACTGGATTCACAGAGAAGGAAAACGCATGAAGTGAAGACAGAAGGTTAGGTGGCACAATGATATCAAAAAGTATGTACGTATAACGTGGCAGCAGAAAGCACAGGACCAAGTTAATTGGCCAGTCTTGGGAGAGGCCTTTGTCCTGCAGAGGATGTAATAATGCTGACAATACGCCAAAAACAAGCACCGACTTGCACGCTAGCAGTGAGTTTTAGTGTTTCAACGTATGTCAATATTTGTGCTTCAAAACACGACAGAGTTAACGCAATCAAAATGAGAAGTAATCAGTAATTTGCATTCGCTTGCATTTGTTCCACTGTGACTCCATGACCATCATTTCTAGCTTCGCCAAGGGCTCCAGTTCAGCATCCGAAATCTCATCTGCTGAGAAATGCTGGTGTTCAGCTGTTTTACTCCTCTAGTTATTTAGTTTGGTTTGTTTTTATAAAATGTTGGGATCACTCTGGACAGAATTGTGCAAGCAGCAACGTAAACAAGGGGCTGCCAGTTTGAATTAGCTGTTGTGGATACCAATGTGTTCAAATTTTCGAAAGATTTCCCTCAATAGAAATGCTCAGGGCAGTGTGCTTTTACTTAACCGAGTCAAATAACGACCTTTTGCTGTAATAATAATTGTTCAATGTAAAATATCTGACGCATGACAAGGCATTTCAAAGGTATGTTAATTTTTACCAGAACAATGACTGAGTGCACTCATTAGGTATAATTGAAGTTGGTCAGTCTTTGTACATGTTGATACTTCGAATGTCCACTAACAGCTATTTCCTTGTAATGCTGTGAAATATGTAGCCAAAAGGACTAACTTTGTGGGATAACTGTGTTAAGAGTGGGGCAGACAGTTAGGAAGTAGGGAAGAATAAAAATGTGAATTCATCTTATGCCGTTTTTCATCGTTTGAGCAGTGTCTTTGATGACCATGCACCATTGGCGCAAATAAAAAAAATTCATGTATTCACTTGTCGATCCAAAGAATGACAGTTTTATGAAGGTCATTCAAAAAGTAAGGGAAATTTGGTTCCAAGCAAGTAAATATTCATTTGCAAAAGTTTTTATTGGTCGGTTCACATAAGCAAAAATCTACTTCATTTTCTACAAGATCACTGCTAACTTTTTAGTGCTTCTCGTACCGTCGCAGTAGTTTCTTTAGTCTATCTGAATAAAAGATTGCCGCTTGTTATTTGAACCTGTTGCGAACGGTGATCTTAAATTTATCATGGTCTTCCAATCGTACCACGAGCCACTGTTTTGAGTGAATGAAAACGAAATAATCACACGGTGCTGGCGCAGGAGAGCGGGGCGAGTAATTAGTGTTTCCTGCCAAAATATTTGATCTTTCCATTGATTCTGATTGTGGTGCAGGGATGCATGTTGTCATGTAGGAGGCTGATTCTGGATGAGAATTGGTGACGTCATCAATGTTTATCGTACTTATTAGTTTGGTGAGTGTTTCACAGTATATGTCAGATGGACGTGTTGCCCACATTTTATGAAATTAAACACTAAAAATTCCTTTTTTGACTTTGAAAATGGTAGCCGCCATTTTCCAACTGGAATAAGCTTACTACTTGAATTTTTTTCTGTTTTTGTGAAAAAGAGTGGTGGCACCACTGTGTTGTTAATTCAATTGCGTACACTGTGAAGCGTCGTCACTTGTGCAACATTGTGCGAAAACAAGTCATCCCTGTTTTATCACTGGCAGTCCATAAACGCTGATCCACTTGATGTCCTTTATTGTTTTAGTTAGTCGGTAAGCATTTTTGGAACCTAACTTTGCGATGTCTGGGCATATCGGCCCCAATTGTGCAAATTGTAGCGAGGCCTACAAGGGGAACTATGCCTCACAGACCAGTAACTGTTAATCCTCAATTTATTGCAATATCCTGTCCACTTGAACAGTTTCGTTCATCTGGATTCTTGGCGTGGTGCTCCACTCTTTTTCGTACGCATTCATGCAGCCATTTCAGAAGTCTCAACACCGTGTTCTGACACTTGTCTCACTCCTCAAAGTTGGTCCATAAACTGTGCACAACTCCTCGTATAATTGAAAAGCTAGTGATTCTTTTGCATGCAAAAATGTAAATACAGTGTACACCCCACAACAGGCGGGAGCAACAATATTCGCCAACATTGGTGGCTGCGTTATCCGTCATACAGATGACTACTAAGACAGAACAATCACTTCAGTACTTTGCCTGAAAAGCAGCAGATTATGCTGTGCACATAACTCTTCAGTCTGAAGTGCAAATACTGAAATATTAGGAAATGACCCTTACTTTTTGAATAAACATTGTAGAAAATTTCATTATGCAGATTTGACTGCAATGAGTATTCACTGCCTATTTTTTTAACATTGCTACCATGACTTCCAGCACTTCTCAGCTGTCTAGTGTTCCATATGTCTCTATTGTGTACGTATATGTTATGTGCATTGTATTGCGATTGTTATCCACTGGTGCATAATTTAATTTTTAACGAATGAGTGCTTTTGGGAGCACGAACAGGCATCCTGTATCTCGTGTGTCAGCTGATCAACAGTAAGCGAGCAAGGGCAAGGGTAGCTAATTCTCTTGACTTGTCATCGGTGACAACTTTCGCAAGAATGTTGACTTGCTGGAATGTCTGACTCAGGCTTTCATTATTGGAAAGTGTTGCTCAATTAAAGTGCCTGTCACTGCTACCCTTTACCTCTTTTGAAACGTAAACCAAGTTTCCTTTTCGACATGATCCTGTAAATGGTGTTTTCCCAGGATGCACTTGCTTACCACAACTGGAAGTTGATCTAGTCAGTCGTAAAAAGATCGGACGCGCAGTCAAAAACACAGATTTTAAACACAATATTGAGAACAATGTTATATCGAGAACAATGCAGGGATACCTAGCACAACAGCGTGGGGTCATTTTTATTTATTCAACGTGATGTCTTCTCGCCAATGCGTTGTCAAATATCATATTGCGGCTCAGGCGAATCGTACTGACACTGCACTTTTTGAGAGCATGTGTGGTGACAAAGCCAATGGCCAGCACAGAATCAATTACTGTGCAATGGGTGTCCAGTGTAAATATCGTTGTCTGACTGAACGAGCCAAGGGACAAGGTTGCACAATTTCAGCGGGTAATTTTATTGCACAGGTGGCTATCACTTTTTTTCATGTATTGTTCAACTCTGTGAGAGACAATGTTCCTTGTTTACATGTGTACTGCTGCATTCACGATTGTCAACAAACAACGTAATCTTACTTGCTTGGCGTGTCTTTTGCCATTTGAGGCCTCTCGGTCATCTGGCGGCATAGCGGAAATATTTATATTAACTTTAGGGTGCTGTGTGCGCGAATAACACCCCGCAATATCAGCGAATAAACGCCCATAAACCTGCGGGCACGCACCGCGACCTCCCGCTATGGTGGCTTCTAGCCACCATACCCCCGCACCCGCTGCTAAAGCAGCCGCCATATTGCTTTAAAGCGATGATGATGATAGGCCTTCAAGCGCCGTCTCTAGGTCGTATAAGTTAGTTCACAACGCCACCGCTACCCTTATTTTCGTTGCATTGTCAAACGTACAGTTTCCCTTCTCAATATGGTAGTGTATAGGTGTTCTGTGGTCTCACTCAGTGAACACTCTCAGTTACGGCTCCGCGGCATAAACGCCCCAGAAACCAAGACTGCTGCGCGATGGACTAGCAGCGCAGCAGCAGCTTAGGCTTACTGCCAGAACCTTTTTGGGAGAACACGAGAGATGGAAGCGATGAAGGATCGCGCTCAAGCAAACCCGTAGCTGTGGGCCAGCGAAGCTGAAGCGATAGGAACGCGTTGTTAAGCAAGCCCGTGGATTGTTACTGTGGTGGTATAAGAATATGCACCAAGGTTTCATGGTTTATCCGATCATCTTCGAGAAAACTTCTTAAACAGCATTAATTTTTTTTATGTGGCAGTGACATTCTTTTCTTGCTTTAGTCACGGATATTCACATCAACATAAACATTCGCTCTGAAACCATGCATCGTGATGCTGATAATCATCGGTTAGATGGTATTTTTACCCCGGTGTCGTGCAGGCCAAAACTACAAGCAGACAGCAGACAGTACCTAGATTTGTTCCTTTATTATGAAACAGGCTACCAGGATAATTAACAATAGCAGGAAAAAAATTGAATCATCTGTGGTTATGCATTCAATTTCTGAGATAAGCACAATAAATTTTAAAGAAAACGCTGCACAGTAAAAGTGTCGTAGACAGTAATGCAATGAAGATACACTTCGGAGGAAATGCATGCTAAGCGATAACATTGTACAAAAGCGCAGATTTGTCTCCGTAACAAGGATATTTCGTTCATTCGTTTAATAAAAGCACCCTATAGTTATGCGCCATGCGTACACAGTGCCAAAATGGTAAGAGAATACACGAATTTGAAGCATGCGGACGTAAAGTGCACCCACTAGGCAATACTCCATTACCACGTGCAACGGCACGTCAACACTGGCAACGCTTACTACACCACCGTTAGAAAACATTTATATCACTACTCAAGACAGGCGCATAAAACACTTGCCCTGTCAGTGGTCACGTGCCATCGTTCGTTGTGACGAAGGGCGCCCACTTCGAAAACACAGACAGTTGCTGCGTCTGACCGTAACAAGAGAAAAACCTGAAGAAACCTCTCACGCGTGCCGCGTAAGAACAACCATCAGTCGAGGGCCTTCACCGAACGGCTCGCTGTTCGCAAACGTCAACATGCCTTGCGGCAAAAGGGGCAACGGGGCTACTTAGCCTAAGCGCAAACCCACCGCGTGCGTGCAGAGCAGTGCCTACGTTCAAAAGGCTGTGCGCATTAACTTTTAAAAGTGCGAAAAACGTGGGTATATACGTTCTTTGGCTGGTGCTGACGCAATGGGAGGAAAACGCCGAAAAGAGAACTGGTGCAGCACTTTCTCGGAGTGTGGAGCAAGCTCGCGCACAAGGGGCCATGCGGCACTGGGCTGCTTCCCATGGGAACTTGACGTTAAGAACTAACCATGAGTGCGCATGCCACATTTTTTTACGTTCCGTACCCTACCTTTACGCCTGTTACGTGTACTGTCCGTAATTTTAGCTACACTAAAGGAGCGTCACTAAGCATGGCGGCAGCCGTAGCTTCAGCCTCATTGGTGATTCTCGTAAGCTATAGCTGATCAAGTGGTCAGTATTAAATATAAGCTGCCACATCCTGTGAATCAACTGGTAACCTTGGTCATGGACGCATATCGCGTGTTATTTTTCTGCTTGTTCTCCGATTCCGCCTTCAGCACGCCTGACGAGACGTACGTGCGCGAAAAATGTCATGAAGATTGCAAGCCGACTAGCTCGGCTTGGACATGTCTGAAAGGGGGCAGCGTGCCGTGCAGTGGCTTTTCATGTCGTCTTCAAGTTTGCATTCCCGTCAAGCGCACTGGGCGCCTTGAATCAAGGCGCAGTGCATCTCCTGCGAAAGCGCCTGCGTTTAGTGCGACAAAGACGGCAGTCAGTTGTAAAGTGTCCGTTGTATGAACGAAATTTGGGGGAAGCTTGGCGAAGCAATAAGTTTGATCAGCTTAGCTCAAAAGATGGTTATTACTGTACTACGGGAAAGTGCTTGCGCACTTTCCCGTTGCACAATATTAACTCGGACACGACGAACAGGCTTGTCGAAGGCATTTGATTGTCTTTTTCTCGTGTGTGTATTTCTTTTGTGCTATTTAAAGACTCTTTTGTGCGTCCCACGCTTTGCTTGAAAGCACTGATTGTGGTCCACCAGATTAGTGGATTTTCGGCACTCAGTAACTTGCACTAGACCTAAACGCCGCTGATAGTAGCAGCCGTAAACAAAGGCTTTAACTACGAAGACTTCTTTGTTGACACATTCCGGTGTGCAAGCGCTACCTCTAACCCGAACGAGGGCTGCACACGAGGCCGCGTGAGGACTCACTGACCGCGCCGCCTCCACAGTCCCTCTGCCTCGCTGGGAACCCTTACTTACGTACAACGAAATAACAAAGCACTTCTATCTGTCAAGAAGGGTATTCCCTCTCCCACACCCGGCCTTGTGCAGGGCGAAGACAGTCACCCTAAGACTATTGCAAGCCAGTGCGTATCCTAACCCTGCGGTTCTTCATGCCATCTACCCTGAACGGTATCCAAGTGCGGATTGCCCCGCTTGTGGGCTGTTAGCCACATTCAATCATGTGTTGTGGGAATGTGAAGCCATCGGCACCACCCTCAGCGAAGACAGGTGGGCTCCGCTCTTACGCAGCCCCGAACTTAAGGATCAAATCCTGGCCGTCCAGAGTGCCCGTGAACGGGCCGTCAAGCTCGGCTTGACGGTCCCAACGTGGGATTAGGCCGGGTGGCGTGGGGTCTCCCCTGCGTCTTCTCAGGACAAAAATAAAGTTTCAATCAATCAATCAAGAACGCTAAAGCTCAAATAAGAGCGATGCCACAGAGGTAGGGACACGCAAACAGCGGAGAGAATAATCTTTTATTTGAGCTCATCGACGTATAAAGAGTGGTTGTTGAATGACATTTTTGTCTACATCTGCTTTTCATGATTTTTTGCGTTTTTTCGTTGAGCATTATTGGCGTTAGACAAATCTTAGCCAAAATTACTGTGAACAAGAAACGAATTTCAGCTAGTGTTAGTGTGACAGACCACTGGGTGGAGTGCTGCCACTTAACACCGCCTTGCGTCACAACTTTTTTTGGCAGGCAGGAAATAATTACATGAACTACAGCGTTCAGACATAGCGACCTCAAATATTCATTATTTCTGAATGAAGTCTGACACAACGAATCATCACAAGGCTCACTTTGCGCGTGCTCCCACTATGTACAAGGCGCGGCTTTGCTGTTTCCTGCTCGTTACTTCATGGTAACAGCTCTGCGTCTTCGACACCACTACGGGGATAAGCACTTTTACTCTCGGAGAAAAGCGGCGCAGGCGTCGCCTGTATCGACGACCGCCTTCTACACAACTGCAATCTGTGCTAGTACAACGCTCGAGGGTTACTAATTATACGAAAGGTGGGCTCTCCACCTGAGAAATAAGATAGAACGTTTCTCGTTACGCAGGCTGAAGCAATTTCGCATAAGCTGCGTCTCGTTAGCGCAAGACGAATCATATGTAATGAGTACCTCGTAAAAGACTGTCTTTATTATTACAAGAAATGTTATTTAAATGTTTTTACAATGGTCGGTGTGGCGTTCCAGTCAACGCATACGAGTTAGACGTTTTTATTCAGCTTCATTACGGTCGTACTCAAGCGCGCCTCCCGGACTCCCACGTAGATACCGCCAGGCGATGGCTGTTGGCACAAACGAAATGCGATTGACCGAGTCAGCATTCGTGCCAATTGAAGCTGTGATGCTTGTGTCCTCTAAAAAGCAGTAATGAACTGCAAAACTGCTTTCCAACAAATTTCATACTATCATAACATTACATAGCAATATAATTTTTACCGTTCGACTCAGTTTACGTTGTATAAAAAGAGCACGAACTAGAAGCCTGTATTTATCATCAGCCAAGTACGAGACATTCCGCTGCTTTGTCTCTTCGAGATGACATCGTAACTGCACATATTGTCGCTTTTGTTCGCATTCATTCGTAACGAACGTTTTCATCTATTGTTATAGTAGGTTGAACGTCTTCAAAGTTAAGTTACACGAAAAGCAGAGTGAGGGGGGGGGGATTTCAAACGAAAGTATCGACACCATAAAAAGAAAGTAAGCAGCCATTGTATTATTCTGCACTGCCACGATTGTTTTCACTTTATTCTGTCTGCAAGCTTCTTCGCTATCCCGTACAGTGTAATACACCACTATGAAAAATACTTGGTCCGACAACTCACATGCTTGTTGTTCACGCTCTGCAAGAGTTTCGCCTAAACTAACTGAAAGTGTCACTGACCTAATGGGACGCTAAAGGAGAAAATATGTAAGAACCCGAATGTGGTGCGGTACTCATGCTCGGCACTTGCCTATGCATTAACGTTATATACGGCATTTGCGAATATATATAATTATTTCAAAATCTCTAAAATTCGAGTGAGTCGAATAATCAAACAATAGAACAGAAAGAATTAATCCCTTTGCAAACAAATAACCTATTAAGTTTCCCCTGCGCCATGCTTTTGCATATGCGTAACTGTCGCTGCAATTTATAAGAGATTCACGCACCAACGTGCAGCTAGTTAGCCTGTAGTAGCGTTTCGGGAACCTCCTGTTGCGCCCTAAAGCAGGCGTCGGCCAATGCCACTGCAAAGTGAGGACAGGCAGGACCAATGTGCGAAAAAGCTAAAGCGCGAAAGGCCTGCGAGAAAAACTGCGCATGGCGTTTTTTTTTTTTTTTTTTTACGAAGAAGCGGCCATGCAAAAGCTCGCGACATCTGCTGCTGGGTGCACTTCCACGTCGGCCTCACAATATGTTGGAGGAATTACGCAAGTTGAGAGAACAAGCCTGCAGGCTGTTTAAAATGGCGGTCACTTCCTAAAATATTCCTGTGAGCAACATTTCTATGCGCGTATACAACTTCGAAAAATGCCACATCTTTTCGTTTTTTATTAGTTTGACGTAGAGTACGGATCAACGAATATAGCAAGAATGCAAACCAAAGCTACATCACCATTCATCCAGGAGAAAAAAAGGAGAACTTGTCTCATGAATAGTGACTCTCACAAACTCACAGTCATTCTGATCACCCTGCTGTATTGTATTCGCGGTATTTCAAAACAGGTTAAATGCGCTGAGATAACTCGGTTTTGTATATGCGCCATTGACAAAGTTGTTATCACATTCAATTTTGCTAGTGAAAACTGGAGCCCGAAGTAAGCGTCAACTTACTGGATATTGCTAGCTGGTTATCTTAGTCTGAATTCAGCGTCAAAGTGTTGAGCATGAGTACTTAGAGAAACGTTCAGCTGATTCAGGTCATCCAGACTTCACCTGGTCGCCATGCTCATTGCAGAAAACCGCACTGAAACACTATCGTACTATTGTGCTGTTCTCACTTGTCGAAGCTGCACTTGAAAAAGTGAGATATTTTTTCGGAGCGCAGGTAAAAATTTCCCATTCTATTTTTAACTTCGTTCTCCCCGCTCACGAAGTATGAAGTTAAAAGCAAGGGCGACACAGCTCACAAAGCGCACGTGTGCAAGAAAGCAAGGCAAGAAGCTTCACAAGGTGCGCACCTGTAGATTCGTAAACAATGCGTATTGCACCCCAAACCGGGGGCTGGCACAGCTGCACAATTTCAGAAGATGATCGAAAAAAAAAAGAAGATCCAATGTCTCTCGAAGAACTCCACCAGTCTCGAAGTGTGCACAAACAAATAACGAAGCAAATAAACAGTGATGCCACAGAAACAAGATAACACACGCGCACGTACACACAGACACTCACACCGGCTGCCGCCTTCACAAGTGCCTGTCCACTCTGAAGCCTGTACGAAGCAAGCTGAATCCACCGTGAAATGGACCTCTGAAACGTAATCAATAGAAAACTTCTCGTAAGCATTCGCAACACCCGAGTCTAGTTGTACGCAAAAGTGCAGCTGAATAGAAAACTGCAGAATCATGAAATTAAGACGTATACGAACGAAATTCACTATATTGTTAGGACGCATAGCGGATAAGTACCGATGGGTGTCGCGACCCTTACGCAAGACACCACGGCATCGGCGAGATGCTCACTCAATTTGTGATTCATGATGACATAACTGCGTCTGCACTCCGATATATAAATAAATACTCATTTAATAGGTCAGACCAGTAACTAGCCCGAAAAGATAAAGAACGAAATACTTTGTAGCCAGTTTTAGTATTAGGTTGATTGAATAAATCACGTTTATTTGGTTTCCTGATTTACTAACTGACTGAAAAACATGCAGTATGTATGTCCAATTTGTAGGCGTTGTTTAACATCATCACCATCACCCTGACTACGTCTACTGCAGGGTATAGTCCATGTTTCACCAATCAACATGGTTGTGTGCATGCTGCAATCGCGCTATTCCTGCGAATTCCTTATAATCGTCTGGCCACATAAGCCTCCCCCTCATGTGTTCACAGAGAATCCAGAGAAGGCAAAATGACTACATAACTGTGCCTTTGGCACACCATTTCAATGAAACTTACCTTGCAGAGAGCGAAATAAAACATAAATATCCGTTTTTATAAAGCACTAGTCTTTGATGCATTAGCGTGACTGTACCCAGTACTGCATATTGAAGCATACACAAGAGCACACAGAACCTATGTGCATTATGTAAACATGTGCACCGCCGTCCATAAAAAGCAAAAAACAAAGCTAGCCCTGCGCGGAAGGCGCATCATAATCACAGCAAAAGCTGGAAGAGTGGCACTTCCGAGCCTTTTCAAAACACTTAGTGGGTAACTACTGCAAGCACACTTGCTTGATACCCACTAGGGCATTGATAATAAATTTTGGGGTAGTACGCCAGCATTCGCGATGCTATTTTTCGTCATTCTTCTGAAAAGGGTGAAATCCCCTAACTATTGCGAGAACTTTGGTAACAATTGTTCATGCAGTGGCTGACGACGATGGGGAATCGTGCCTCAATAAGTATGCGCCGCAGTTATTAGAACAAAAACAAGCCTAAGGCAAGTTCGAATAATCCTGAATCAAGCACACGCATGGCCCAGTGGTAGAATACAGACAGCAAACCAGGATTCGAGCTCCACTCTGTCCTTTGCACTAGGCCTTTTTTTTTTCGTAGCTCGTTCGACAGTGATTACGGATACCGGCAGTGGTGGGCAACAATAGATCTCATAACCCCTTTCAATGTAAAAGAGCCGACTGCGGGGTTTTCTCTCCCTCTTTACACATTAGCAGCGATTGACTTTCCAGTAGAAAACACGTGTTCATCACGGCGTGCTTTACGCCTTCCCAGGTACCTGCACAACGCGGCCTTGAGCACCAGCGTCGCCACCACTGTAAGCGTTAGCGCCCACTGCTTCGCATCTACACACGGTTCCTTTTTATGGAAGATTGCATATTATATTTTGCTTTAGCGAGTGCTACACGTTGCTAGAACTAAACCACTCAGTGGCTATAAAGAACAGTTGCTATGATTGCAGACTGGCTATGTCTGCCGTTTTGTCGCCCTGCGTGAGTACGCTGACTGCAGAAAATTTGCACCAAATGAATCCTTTCACGAGTGGTGTCTCGCTACAGCGGTTTCCCTTTGATTGGACATTGTGACCTATTTAACTACTGCGCTTGACAGTCATATATTTTTGTTGTCTGTGAAACACTTGATGTTTCAACGCGAGTTGAACGTTCGGGTAATATTATAGGCTTGCTTCTGAGATCTTTCTTTTTCACCGTCAACCGGAAAAAAATTGCGTAGTTATCAAAGGCAAGCCAAACGTTTCTTCCTAATTGTAGCGGAAAAGTCTCTCACCTTTGGCGGTGTGGGCTCTATGGACGTGTTGCGCCAAGCAACGATTTCTTCACGTGTATGGAGGGCTACAAACAGAGCAGTGCATTCTTTTAGTTCAACACACATCAATGGCTCCCAGAATAAGTGGTGAAGGCGGGATGAATGTCAAAGCGAAACAATGAAGGGTGTGGTGATTAGGCTGGAGTGCTTTGCAGGGGCACACAATCATTGAAATGCAGCCATAGTTACGTCCTACAGGCCCACAGTCACTCTATGAAGAAAGAGTGCGTAGGAGAGAGATCAAAAGGCACTAGAGTGTTCAGACGACATCTCAACTTCTGCGAAGACCCTTCAGACGACTGTACAGCTATTTACACGGCCTCACAGTGAGAACGATGCAGCTAGTCTATAGTGGGGTAGCGGAGGGGCATGAAAAAAGCTAAGCGCGCGCAGGTATACCGACCATTTTTTTTCTTCTTTTTTTACAGCTTCACTCGGGCTCTTGAACTCTCCACTCCGTCAAAGAAAGTGTTACTTTTCGTCGGCCATGTGTGTTCGTAGAGCGACAGAGAGAAAACAGAGTCGTTCGATGAACAGTTTGATAAACTATTACTCGCTGTATATGCCGACAATGTCACATTGCTGTTCTATTTCGCGAAGATTCGTGTTGAGTAAGTTTAACCGGATGCGAAGGTAGTCTCGCACGGGCTTATCGCGTGGCGATCTGTCTCTTCCAGGAGCTGCAGACGAATACATAATGGCATGGATTTGAAGCTGACGGCCGTGAAACATATTGGAAAGGTCAAAACTGGATTGGGATCCAGACAGCGCGAAGCACCGTATGAAAGAAGAAAGAACACTTAAAATGCACAGCCAGCCCGCTCGCATCTACCCATTGCCCATATAGTGGTCGCATTAGAAAGCAGCATGTCGACCAAGCGCGCGATTGTTTTAACTAGAAGGAGACTTTCTGTTCTCCCCTAGTGATACTTCTTAGGCCCTGCTGGCAAGAAACGAGTCTTTGACGTCAGCAAAGGCGGTCAGCGTTGGCAGGCGCCTCGATTACGCGCAGTGTCCGCGTTGTCACCGAACAGCCAACTCGAAGGCATGAACACTTTCTAGAGGTCGTCGCTGCTATAACGGCGTATCCCTGAAGCCTCCAGTTTTGCCGTTCGCGGACGGCTGCCCTTGCGACTGGAGTTGCGTAGGAGACGTCTCGGCAACGTCGGCCCGCTGCGGGCTGCGGTTCTCCGTCGGCGATGTAGCCACTACAGGCAGCTCGACGTGCGTCGCAGCGTTTTCTTCCGTCGGACTTGTTGTAGCCGCTGTAATGAGAATCCGAAGCAATTTATGAGCTCGCAGCGCAAACGTTGCTGTTTTTATTCCATAGTTTAACACGCACATTGAGTGCCAAGTGCTTAAGCGGCTGCCAAAAAAGAAAGCATGACAAAACACAAGCATGAAATTTTTTCAAAGAAATTATCTGCCCGGTAAATGTCTATCGAGGCCTATTATTCTGCCACCACCGTACGCTGCTGATTTTGTTTAACGAGGCCGTTTTACGAATCTTCTGGAACCTATAACCATCTCGCGCCTATTTGTACAAGGATCAACGAAATTTGACGTGAGCACAACTGATAGCCAAGAGGTTGATGACCGTAACGTTGCTACGCTCAACACACACACACGCTCACAGTTGAATTGTCTTCAACTGGCGCAGCAAGTGGGGCTTGCCAAAGATATTTTTTTGGATTCACCACTTGTATATACAGGTGTACATACAAGCACACGCAAAAATATATGTGAAGTATGGTTCAACTCACGAAAAAAACTTCTGGCTCAACTATGGCTTTTTTTCTTGACCTAAATGCATCAGTCATGCTTAACTTTGTGTTGCACTGGTACGAAAGTTGATAACTTGTTCATCGCAGGCTCCGAAACTTTCTGTGTACAAAACAAGCACTCAGGAAGGCGTGCATGGCTGTGACGTCCGCACAAGATTTATTACTGCTGTGCGGTTACACGCTAATTTCAAGAAGATAGATAAACTGCCTCGTTGACCAAAATCAGCAGCATAGAATGGTGGCAGAATAATTAACCTCGACGAACATTCCCCCAAAATATTCTTGTTTTGCGAAAATTTCACGTTTGCGTTTCGCCAAGCTCTCTTTAAGGTCAGGGGCAATGTAGATACTAACATTAACATAGATAAGTGTTCTATAAGATACCACAGTTTATACTAAAACTTTACGCATGATTCATTATTATGTGGGCTTTAACGTCCCAAAACCAACATATGATTATGAGAGTGGCCGTAGTGAAAGGCTTCGGAAATTCAGACCACCTGGGGATCTTTAATGTGCACCTAAATCTTGGAACACGGGCCTACAACATTTTAACCTCCATCAGAAATGCAGCCGCCACAGCCGGGACTCGATCCCGCGACCTGCGGGTCAACAGCTGAGTACCGTAGCCACTATAGACCACCGTGGTTGGGCGTCCCTTCTAAACTCATAGTACCCTGCGCACGTCAGCTCTTCTTGTAACACTTCATCACTGAACTGATGGGTATTTTGTTTTCATAGCTTTTCATTACCCTTAATGTTTGTTCGATCTTGTGCTCGGCCCTAGAAGTAATACTACTAATCAAAAATCAAAAGTCACACTTTTTTATCGAGGAATAACCTATTATGCTTGCACTCATTTAAAACAGTGTGTTCAACTTAGTCGATGAAAATATTTACGTTTGCACAACAAAGCACATCGTGAGTGTACCAGCGATTTATTTGCAGTTGCTGTAGAGCATGTTTACGTAACCAGTCAGTAAGATACAGCCCATATGTATAGACGTACGTGACTACTTAATGAGTCGCAATAACTGGTAATTAGGCGACTAGTCAAGCAGACAGAATTGCCTAGCAGGGTGTTCGCATAGCTCTCTTTGCAGCACATATTTGATTATGCGGGGCCGCGGCATGCACAAAGACAACCAACTTTTTCGAACTGTGGTTAACGCAAGAAACTGCATGTGATATACATAAATGTTCAACGGAAAAAGAGAACATGCATATAAAACGAGCGCAGACATAACAAGGGCTGAACAACTTCTAAGCGTAATTTAGGCGTGCACTCGTGTTGTACGTTAAGGCGATCAACGATCTCTCCAGTCTCCAGGTCTGGTTCACATTCACTTGCTTTGTATGCCATTGCGCAGTTGACCGCCAGAAACAGATGAGCGGAAAAATGCAGTTCAGCATTGAAATGAACGCTTAGCGTATAATAACCTTAACATTATCAGGGAAACCACTGCACGACGATGGAGTCCTTAATAAAAGGCCTCGCTTCCGGATATGGTTCGTGCAGCACGGAAAATCAGATGCACTGTCACAGGCATGTTCCGAATGTTTCGCACACTGAAAAGGAACATTGCTTTTGTCCTATGTTTCTGCACTCGTGTTTCGACCAGCTTCAAATTAAGCACAGTAGGCGGTTCAACCCACCCTGACGAACAACTTCTTTTTGTAAGGGGTCGAGCTGCACGAAGGTCCACCCAAGTATTGATTGATTGTTTAATTTCACGCCCCGAAACCATGATACGATTATGAGAGACGCCATCGCGGTGCGCCCCCGTACCGCGATGGCGTCTACCACTTACACGGGCCTCAACCATCGCCGCTTTTATAGAGAATGTGGATCTCGCAATCTGCGAGTGAGCAGTCGGGCTTTATAACCACAAAACCGTCGTGTCGAGTCTCATAGGTGCATAAATTAAGAACGCCTGTACTAAAATTGCATCATTTGACAATTTTTTTGACGGAGGCCGCATGATCCTCGTGCACATGGCCACTGGCACATATATATACCTCGTGTGAGCAGAAATTGCAAGTGCGAAACAACCAGTTGCGCTTGCTTTTCGAACAACGTGCTACTCACGAGCTCAAATGAGCGCAAGAGACATGAACTACCTAGAGATGCCATAATGCGCGATATTTGCCAAAGCTGTCATTTGTATACACACCCATCTGAAACAAGGAAAAAAATATTCATTATGCTCGCTGTGGACGTCGAATTCTGCACAAGGAAACGCTACACTCTATCAAAACGAATTCAGAAATATCTCCTCTATATTATTGTACAAACTATGCGATCAAACTGCGAGGATGGCACGACTTTCGTGAAGTAAAGACATAATACAAAGAAACCGTCCATCATTTTAGAACTTTCCTCTTGTGATCACAGCTGCGAAACGAATAAAACAATGGTGGTGGGAATCGAGCATAGAGATATTTCGGAACAGCTATGTGTGAACGACTAGGTAAATTTACCCGTGAAAGCGAACTTGATGGATTATGCGATTTCACTTTCAACATGAGACATGCCGCGTTGCTGGGTACTAGATTACTTTTCACTACTTGAAGCGCCTTACCCCGGCCTTCATTTTTTGCATCTGTTGTTTCGCTTAATCGGTTCACCATAACGTGTTGCAGATTTTTCAAGTGAATACGTTCGTTCTGATGCACACGCCCGACTGTGACGAGCTGGGCTTTATACTTTTGTGATTTTTTTAAGGTAAACCAAGTGGTAGCGACATTTCCTTCTGTCTTCTTCCGTGGTGTGCACTACTGCCTCCTGCATTTATTTCAAGAGCATGAACCCGGTCGCCGCGGCGGAGATGCGAGGAGAGCCTGCAGTTTATCAGTGAGTGAATCATAGGCAGAGAAGTTCAAATAAATAAGCCTTACAGACTTTGTTTCTACACTCTAAAGACGGTTTATGATAGTTAGAGTAAAGGGATTGAAAACAACGCATGCATATTCATGTCGTAGCCCAATTAGGCATAAGATGCCATGATATATGATCGTAAGGTATATGTTAAAGCGTCATATATTGCAACCTTAGTCGAAACCTTCAAACCTTCTTCACGAAGTGTACCGTTTAACGAAAACTCGTCTGGCGAGGAAAAACCATGGTTGAAGAAAATGTGCGCCCGTCAACTTAAACGAACACGAAACAAAATATTCGACGTTTGGGCCCTTTACGGGTGCTTTATCAAGGCACCGAACGCGTGTTTTGAAGGACTGTGCCGCTGGACTACCACGGCACGCATATATGAGAATAGAGAAGTGCAGCTTTTATTGCGATATCAATTATATGGAACACTCTCGGCTGGATTTTGCCGCCTGCATCGACGTCGGCGTTGTTGTCATTCACCGTGTCTGTATACGTATCCAGTATACATGAAGATGCAAGAAAGAAAAAAATCCAGAAAAAGACTCCGGCGCAAGGAATCGAACTTGGGTCCACTGCACCGTGAGTTCGAGGCGTTGACCACTGAGCCGCCAAGAACCACATGTTTAAAGTTCGAACGACCACCAATTTATATCTACCACTTACCGCTGCTGACGGGCATCTCCAATTGAATCATCGTGTTTTCAGCAATACCAGCAAGATGGTGCAATGAGCACGCGTCGCCACATCGCGCGGTGGCGCGTGCTGTCATCTCCCACGAGCACTTTGCACCGCGAAGAGCAGGTTTTTTTTTATTTATTTACACTCGTACGCAGAGCGTAATTTAGGCATTCATGGGGGGGGGGGGTTACACAGAGAATTTATAAATGATACATTTCACGAACATTGGTAGAGAAAAACTAAGGAGAATAGTGGCATACATTGTTGTCAGTACACATGAATTACATAAAGATCAGCTAACCCAGGCGAAGAGCGAAAACAAAAATGAAATTTATACTGTACAAACATAAAAAATACGAAAACGATGTGACAAGAACTAAAAACTGCATAAAATTCCCTGACACACCCTTATCTCGCGGTAGGGATAATCGTACGTCTTAGCTGGCCTGGGGTTTACCTGCAACGATCCTGGGCGCACAAAGGTCACTGCGATCATTGCAGTCTCTGTTTGCGAAAAGCGCGTGCTTTTCAGACACAGCGAAGTATTAACTGAGACGCTTATTCGCGTGAATATGTACCAGTGAGTACGTTTCGTGCACCTTTTGTGCGTGAACAAGGCAGGGCACGTTTAGATCTGCTTTCCATTCTGCGCGTAATCTTCCCACTCGTTGCTATCGCGTTCAATGCTTTACTTTTGAGGCAAAACTGCGACTGTTTGGTGCTGTAGCAATTATATGAACGCCCTCGGCTGGATTCCACAGCCGGCATCAGCACCGGCTTCGACGTTGTTGTGGGTGTCGCCGACACTCACCGTATATGTATACGAATCTATTTATTTAAAATACAAGAATAATTCTGAAAAAGACTCCAGTGCATGTAATCGAGCTTCGGTCCTCTGAATCGCGAGTGCGAGGCGCTGACGATTGCGGCACCGAGCAGCACTTCCTTCAACGTTCGAACGGCAAGCTATGTATATCTACCACTTACCACTGTTGACGGGCATCTCGGGATGAATTATGTTTTCAGCATTACCAGCAAAAAGGCGCAATGAGCGGGTGCGTAGCGTCATGACGCGCCAGTGCGCGCTATCATCTCTCACGTGCACTTTGCCCCGCGAAGAGCATGGGGTCGACGCTCACTCATGCGCCCATATCTTATGGTGGGGATGATCGTACGTCTTGGCTGGCCTCCGGCTTTTACGATTCTGTTTCGTTACCGGGCGCACAAAGGTCACTGCAATTGTTGCAAAGTCGCCGTTTGCGAAAAGAGCGCACTTTTCAGACACAGTGAAGAAAAAAGTGAGACGCTTATTAGGGTTCAGCTAACCTGAGAATACGTTTCGTGCATCATTTGTGCGTGAGAAACGCAGGACACGTTTCTATCTGCTGGTCTGCGCGTGACCTTACAATATCTTGCTGTCACGTTCATTGCTTCGCCTTTGCGGCAAAGCTGTGACCCTGCCGTACCGTAGTCATTGGTGCCGTGTCCCGGGCGGTGCAGCTGCGGCATGCTTCGGCGGCGCTCGGCCTGCAGGATCTCGTGCGCCGCCCGGTCCATTTCTTCCTGGGTCAGGTTGAAGGCCTCAGCCAGCTCGAGCTGAGTGGCCCGCACGAAGTCGGCGTCGCAGTACTTGCCCAGGCCTTGCTCGTGGAGAACCTGTGCAGAAATTATGGCAAGTCTCTTTCTTACAGGAGGTTCCCAAGAGGCGACCGAGGAATCTATTATATACAAAAAAGGCAAAGTACCTACGCGAGGTTCTTAATCATTAGAGCCCGGATTTTCTGCACTAAAAAGCGCGCTTTAGGCACCTAAAATCGGCAGACAGAGCAATGTTTCGTTAACTATATATGGCGTACAAAACACTTTTCAGGCATCTATACTTGGAGATATGGGCAGAGTAAAATTTTCCAGAAATGCTTTTAAATTGAAACTGAAAGCATGCGTGGCCTGTACAGAAGTTTTATGAAGCCAGAAGGGACTAGCCATAGTCGTGCGATTGACCTTTTTCCCAAATGACTTGAAAGATACGATCTCTAGTCCAGCATACTGAGTCAAGTGCTAACTGATGAATCAACAGAGCTGCATCTCTTTCTTGACAAATGAGAAGAGACGCACAGGAGCAGATTTCCATACTATATATGACCAGAAAAGAGGGACGCCTCGTATTGGCTGAGTAGATAACCACGTCGCTTTATTCCGTGTCAGTGAACACATCAAAGCGAAAACTAGGCTAGGAACGAAACAAAAGCCGAGGAATGAGCTTTGTCATTGATCCATTTGGGAACCTTTGGGCGATATTCATTAGATATGGGTGCGCTTAACGTTACCGTAAAGTGGTAACTTCCATAAGAATTATTGATGGCGTTCCTGGTCAATAAAGGAAGTGGGAATGGAGAGACAATACTGGTCTATTGACGAGTAGGTATTGTTGGCGAGGCAGTAGTAGGTGGGCTTCTTCCAATTTAGAAGACACGGGCGAAACGTAAATAGGAACCGTTCAATCAGGCGACCTTGAGCATCGCAGTGATAGTCACCCCATAGAATGCTATGAGCATTGAAATCTCCAAGGGGAATATAAGCCTCTGGAAATTTATTTATTAGGGACTGGCATTCACGTTTTTCAAGATGGTGGTGTGGAGGTAGGTAGACAGAGCAGATGGTGACGAGTTTGTTCAGAACAACTACTCGAATAGCCACTTATTCAAGAGATGTTTCGAGTGGTAGATAAGCACATGCAATCCCTTGGTTGACTATTACGGCCACACCACCAAATGACGCAACGGCTTCATTCATGTCTTTCGAAAAACAATATGCTGGCGTAGAAAATTAGTGACCTTGGGTTTTAGGCGTGTTTCTTTTACACACCGCACTTTTTATGAATGATTGTGTAAAAGTTCTTGTGCATCGTCGAGGTTTATCAGGAGTCTTCTGACGTTCCACTGTAAAATTTGTGTCTATATTGATACGCAACAGCCGGCACAGCCTGTCTGGAAGAAAGAGGAAGACGACGTTGGTGCCTGGTAGTTGATGAACTGTCGCCATCTTGTTCGCCGAGCACGGTGCATCGTATTTAGTTTATTAAATAAGTTACCCATAACATTATTGGTGGAGTTGGACGACTCCCGTACCTCGATGGAGACGCGCAGCGGTCGCAACACCGGGGACTCTTCGGCTACTTCAACTGCCAGTGCCTCATCCCCACCGGTCTCTCGATCCGAGTCGACAACCTACGTCACCCTGCCACCCCTGCGGGATCCTGGAACTTTCTGCGCTGACGGCACCATCAACGTTGACTCCTGGCTGCACCGGTACGAGCGAGTCAGTGCTACCCACCACTGGGATCCCGCGCTCATGCTCGCCAATGTTGTGACTACCTCGACGGCACGCCGCGGGCATGGTTTGAAACCAACGAAACCGAAATCACAAGCTGGGATCTTTTGAAATCGAAGATCCGTGATCTTTTCGGCGATTCATCTGGTCGTCAGCTCGCTGCCAAGAAGACTCTCGCCACTCTCGCCCAGACGTCTACTGAATCGTACGTCTCATACATTCTTGACGTCTTGGCGCTTTGTAGCAAGGTCGACCAGCGCATGTCAGAAGAAGAAAAAGTTAACCATGTCCTCAAAGGGATTGCTGTCGATGCCTTCAACCTGCTGCTTTTTAATAATGTCACGAGCATCGACACGATCCTGACAGAATGCCGCCGTCTAGAACAGGCTAAAGCCCGCCGCGTCACCCACGGCATCACGCGCCTGCCGAACACAGCTGCTACTTCCTCTTGTCCGTCCGCCCAGTTCCCTGATGTGACAACCTCACCCGCATCATTCGTCGTGAGGTCGAGGCAGCCCAACCAGTAGTTACTCCATTTCCAATGCCTGAACCTTCACCGACCACTATATCACTTATACAAGCCGTCGTTCGTCAAGAATTATCGAACGTCGGCCTACACCCCATTCAACCAGTCTACTCTGCCAAGCCTTTTTATCGTCGTCCCTCTGCTCATCGATTTGGTCCCAACTACTCTCGACAGCGCAATTTGTCCGAATGGCGTACACTGGACGACAAGCCCATATGCTTCAACTGCCGACGTGTCGGTCATATTGCTCGCCACTGCCGCAATTACTGGGCTCCGCTGGCACGCTATGGGCCTCCTACCCAGGCCACTTCTGACCCCCAGTCGTCCTCAACATTTGATTTTGGTTCCCCTATGCCGACCACATCTTCTGATTCTGCCGCACCTCTGACGAGATCTCGCTACGCCCGCTAACCATCCCCTGCTCGCCATCAATCTCGTTCGCCCCCACAACGCCGTCCTGCCTCTCCGACCTATTCGCAGTGCCCCCGACCGGAAAACTAGGCAGTGCAGCTTCTGGAGGTGAAGCTGCATTGACGACGACCTCTGCAAGAAATCCTCGCGTAACGTTACAGATAATGTAACGTTACTTTAGACAATGTACCTGTGCGCCCGTTGATCGATACCGGCGCGCATGTGTCCATAATGAGTGCTGCTCTTCGTCGCCGCCTAATGAAAGTTGTCACACCCGCCTTGGACCGAGCCGTTCGAGTCGCCGACGGGAGAACTGCCGCGATTATTGGCATGTGCTCTGCCCGTGTGACTATTGCCGATAGAAGCACTGCTGTTCTTTTCACCGTTATAGACAATTGCCCTCATGAAGCAATTCTAGGCATGGATTTTCTAACCGCTCACTCGGCCCTTATAGATTGTCCAGACGGCTGTCTTGACCTTGAAATGCCTCTACTTTCTGATCTGACCAACCCACCCCAAAGTCGCCTTTGCTGCATTGATTTCGCACGCCTTCCGCCTAACTGTGTCACACATATCAACCTCTTCTCTGCACCACCTGTACCTGACGGCGATTACATGGTGGCACCAATTCATGCCGTGATGCTTACGCATGGCGTCGCTGTTCCGCACACCATTTTGACAATCGTTGAAAACCGCACATGCCTTCCTAATGTCAATTTTGCCCTCACTGCCCAAATTCTTGCACAAGGTAACTCCCTGGCCGAAATTACTGCTCTACAAGACCATACGGTTGAACCCTTCAGAGTGGATGATTGCTGCACCTCAGACCATGAACCAACTCTATCACTTTCATCGGGCGTCGACGTTGACCACATGGTACCATCAGACCTCACTCCTGATCAAGCGGAAGCCCTTCGTCACGTCCTGGCGTCCTATAGTGACATTTTCGACTTCGCCAGCACGGCTTTAAGTCAAACGAGGGTTGTTACTCATCGCATCAATACTGGTGACGCGAGTCCCATTCACTGACGTCCATACCGTGTTTCCGCGTCCGAGCGCACAGTCATACAACAGGAAGTCGAAAAGATGCTTGCAAAAGACATAATCGAACCCTCTTGTAGCCCCTGGACTTCTCCTGTCGTCCTTATCAGAAAGAAGGATGGAACATGGCACTTTTGTGTAGATTATAGGCATCTCAACAAAATTACGAAGAAAGATGTTTATCTGTTGCCTAGAATCGACGATGCCTTAGACTGCCTTTACGGTGCTACGTAACTTTCCACTATCGACCTTCAATCTGGCTATTGGCAGATCGCTGTGGATGAGATGGACCGTGAGAAGACCGCATTCGTCACTCCTGACAGGCTTTATCACTTCAAAGTTATGCCCTTTGGTCTCTGTAACGCGCCGGCCACATTCGAAAGAATGGTGGACTCATTGCTCCAAGGGTTTAAATGGTCAACCTGCTTATGTTATTTAGACGACGTTATCGTTTTCTCGCCCACATTCGACTCCCATCTCAAGCGTTTATCGGCGATTCTTGAAGTTTTTCGTCGAGCCGGACTTCAACTGAACTCGTCGAAATGCCACTTTACTCATCGTCAAATAACCGTACTTGGCCACATCGTCGATGCCGCAGGGGTCCGCCCGGATCCCGAGAAAATTCGCGCCGTCACGGACTTTCCTGTTCCGAAGTCAGCAAAAGACGTTCCCAGTTTTGTGGCCTTGTGCTCCTACTTTCGACGGTTTGTTAAGGACTTCGCCATCATTGCACGCCCGCTCACAAACCTCCTGAAGGACACCCCGTTTTTATGGGGCGCTGATCAAGCCTCATCTTTTTCCCAGCTCACGATGCTCCTTACAACACCGCCGATTTTAGCCCATTTCGATTCATCAGCTCCAACCGAGGTTTGCACTGACGCTAGTGGGCATGGCATCGGGGCAATGCTAATGCAACATCAACGCGGACATTACCGTGTTATAGCATATGCAAGCCGCCTGCTATCTACAGCCGAGCGCAACTATTCAATCACGGAACGTGAGTGTCTCGCTCTTGTGTGGGCAGTCGCCAAGTTTCGCCCATACTTATACGGGCGTCCATTCCGGGTAGTCACCGACCACCACGCGCTCTGCTGGCTGGCCTCACTCAAGGATCCCACAGGACGCCTCGCTCGTTGGTCCCTATGATTACAAGAATACACATTCACCGTAACGTACAAAACAGGGCGGTCACACCAAGATGCTGATTGTTTATCACGCTACCCTGTGGAAGAGGCTGCCCATACTGACACCCTTCCAGACCTTCTGTCTGTGACGCAGCTACTCAACTTTGGCCACTAACAACGCCTGAATGCTTCGCTGCGAACCATCATTGGCAAGCTTGAGTCAA